TATGCATGGAGCTCAAGTCTGCCATGACCAGAGACTGCATCATAAAAATAGGGGCTGGAGCAATAAATAAGGTGATGGGCTTTCCCGCAGCTGACACAAATTCAATCCTTGGCATACCATATGGTGCCTCGAGCATCACCAGAATTAAGCCTCAAGCACCATCAGGTGTGGCCCCAAACAAAACAAAACACACACAAAATAATAGAAAAATATGGACAATGTGAAAGTTCAAAGTCAGGCATTCTGGGACCAGAGTGATAGTACAGCGGATACGGCATTTGGCTCGCACGCAGCTGACCCAGGTTCAATCCTCGGCATCCCATATGGTTCCCTGAGCACTGCCAGGAGTAATTTCTGAGTGCAAAGCCAGGAGTAACCCCTGAGCATCTACAGGTGTGTCCCAAAAAAACAAAAGATTGAAAAAAAAAAACAAAATCAGTTATGATGATACTTATGCATTGTTTGGGACATATATATATATATATATATAGAGAGAGAGAGAGAGAGAGAGAGAGAAGCAGTTCAAATATAGAGAAAAGTACAGGAATGATAAAGACCATATTCTAAAAATTTGGTAGGGAGGGAATGAGATTAGAATGGAGTATGATAGGGGCCTTCATTTTAATTAATAATTTGGAGTGATAGTACAGCGGGTAAGGCACGCGGCCAAACCGGGTGTCCCGGGTTCAATTCCTCTGCCCCTCTTGAGAGCCCGGCAAGCTACTGAGAGCATTTCGCCCATATGACAAAAGCCTGGCAAACTACCCATGATGTATTTGATATGCCAAACACAGTAACAAGTCTCACAATGGAAACATTACTGGGACAGCTCGAGCAAATTGATAAACAATGGGAGGACAGTGACAGTGACAGATTAAAATTAATGGTATATCTACATATATAATTTTTAATCCTTTTAAATAATTTATAATTAATACTACTGAAAGAGACCTTTCAATAAAGTCTTTATAGTAAGAGTTTATTCAGTAAGAGATCAGCTAATTCAATAATTTCAGTAAGAGATCTTCCTAGTAAGAGCTAAGTTTTACTTCCTTCTTCATTCATCTCTGTTAAGTATTAAATCAGTATATTGACTTGGAAGTACAAAATCAAGCAATCATTTATTCAACAAACATTTACTATTTAAATGACAGATTGTTCAAAGAGCTTCTTCCTAAGAGATCAAGGTTTTTGCCTCACTCACATTGATGATTTCTGCTACATAATAAAGGTCGAAACAAATTGGATATAATAAAGCTTGATTGTTTTGTTCCTTGCAAAGCTTCAACATAGTAAAGGAACAAAAAGGCATTGGATCATACAGGTCAAGATACATACTATAGGGCCGGAACAGTAGCACTGTGGATAAGGCACTTGCCTTATACCTGGTAAACGTAGGTTTGATCCCTGGCATCCCATATGGTCCCCTGAGCCCACCAGGAGTGATTACTGAGCTTAGAGCCAGTAGTAAGCCCTAAGCACTGCCAGGTGTGACCCCAAAAATAAGCAAACATACACACACACACACACACACGTGTGTGTGTGTGTGTGTGTGTGTGTGTGTGTGTGTACACAAACATACTATAAGTTAGGTGCCCTGTTCTACAAACTCATTCACATATTTAGTCACTTGACAACTATCTATAGGCATTGATGGGACCCCGGGTGGGCAACTGTAAACAAAAGAAGCACAGCCTTGGGTTCTTGCATGGCCACCACCTTCGCCATTGCTTCCTGACCTATGTCATCCTTCCTGGGTCATTGCAATAATCCAACTGTTAGATTACCCAAACTGTTCTTTCGATGTCTACTTTGCTCCTCTAGAATCAAAGCTTAACTGCAGCCAGAGAGATCCTGCCACAGTTCCTCTCATCTCTGTTCTAGGACCACCATGGCTTCTCCCCATTCTCATTGGGGGCGATGGCAGAAAGGGGAACTGTTCTCTAAATTCGTACTCTCAAGGGGTAGTCTCTGGGACTAGAGTTACAGTAAGCAGGCAAGGTGATTGCCTTGCACGCAGCTGACCCCAGTTCAATCCCCCTTGTTCCACATATCCCCTGTGCACTGCCAGGAGTAATTCCTGAGTGCAGAGCTAGCAGTAACCCCTGAACATTTCCAGATGTGCTACCGCTCCTCCCATCCCCAAGAGGTATTCTCTGTTTCTCAACCCACTGAGTCTGGACTGGCCTTATGACTTCTCTCTCCAGTAGAATGTGGCCGAAGGAGAGTTGAGAGTTGTGTGAAATCTGGTTCTCTCTATATTTCTACTCTTCCTCTGGGACTATCACTACTGCCATGTGAATGAGCCCAGGCACGCTGGTTGGAGGGTGAGAGGTTAGGTGGAGAATCCTCCAGGAGGGTCCTTGACATGAGCCAGTTATCTGCCTACTCATCATCTAGCTGAAATACCCGATGCAGCCCAGCTCAGAACAGGCCAGACCAGTCTCTACCAAAAGAATCCTCCAGATGACCGACAGAACTCACAAGCTGAAGAAATCTACCACTGAGGTTCTGGCGGTCGGTTAGGCAGCAAAAGCTAACCAACTTAACCATGTCATTCAGAGAGAAAGTCAGAGTCCTAACGCAACCCTCTGTGCTCAGAACTCTGCCCTGGGCCACAGCAAGTGCTCAATGAACATTTGTTGAATGAAGGAACACATTCATAAATGGAGTTACTAATCTCGTAGAAGAAACAGGAAATAAATAATATGAGATAGCACACTGAGGCCAGAGCTATAGAACAATGGGTAGGGTGCTTGCCTTACACACGGTTGACCTGCTTTCAATCTCTAGCACTTGTTCCCCTGAGCACAACCAGGAGTAATTCCTGAGTGCAGAGCCAGCCAGGAGTAACTACTTGAGCTGGGTGTGACCCAAAAACTAAAAAGAAAAAAAATATATATATAGATAGATAACACCAAATTTGGCCAATGCTATGAAAGAAACAAAAAGTGGCTGATGCAGAGAACCACAGTAAGGAAATGGGAAAGTGGCTTTCCAGGGGCTCCTCATTGTTTTTAGGATAAAACCCCAAATCCGTCTAGTGGCCTCAAAGACCCCGACATGGCCCTGCCCCATGAACCTCACCAACTTCCTTCCTGGCCTCCCCACTACAACATGGACCTCCCCGTGGTCCCTCCAAGCATCACGAATGCTGGGTACCAACTGGTTTCTCTTCTGAAATGTCCTTCCCTAGGACCCCACACCATCTCCTCCTCCCTGCCTTGTCTATGCACAGCCTCCGTTCCTGGGGTGAAGGGGAGCTTCCTGGCCTCCGAGCCCCAGAACCCTCTACCCGCTGCCTCTGTTATCTTTCTGGTGGCGTCCAGAGTCGCTTCTTGGTTTCCCCTCGGCCCCCACTACCACCCATTTAAACACAGCTTCCCCAAGAGAGGCATTCTGCTTCCCTCCATTCACCTTTCCGACGGGATTGCCTGAAACACTGGGCCAGACGGTGTGGGTTCCTCTGGAGGCCCGACTTGTTGCCAGGTTCCAGATGCAGCAAGGCCAGCGCTGGGCTGTGAGCTCTCCTGAGAACATGGTGCCTTGGCCTGTACTCCTGAGAGCCCTGCTGACGGGTTCACGCCGGAGCTGGAGACATGAGCAGCTTTGTGGTTCGTTAGCTGCCCTGTGGAGAATAGCCATGTCCATAGTTGGCTTCACTGTCAGTGGGGATGTTCCCAGAGAAGTTAGCGTTTGCTTCTAGAAACAGCCCTGAGAGAGCACAGGCAGCTTTGATCACCCCCACTATTTACAGACAGAACAAGAGCTCACGCATGTCCCGCAGGCCGCTGGCATATGAGCAGGTAGAGCCAGACTTCTGGTGCTGGCTGGTTTGACTCCAAGCACTCTCTCTCTCTCTCTCTCTCTCTCTCTCTCTCTCTCTCTCTCTCTCTCTCTCTCTCTCTCCTCTCCCCGCCCTCCCCTCTCTCTCTCCTCTCTTCTCTCTCCCTCTCTCTCCCTCTCTCCTTCTCTCTCTCCTTCTCTCTTCTTCTCTTCCTCTCTCCCTCTCTCTCCTTCTCTCCCTCTCTCTCTCTCCCTCTCCCCCCGCTCTCTCTCTGCAACTGCTGTTGGTTTTCTGTTCTTCATCCTCTCTGACCCATGCCCTTCCCGAATCATTACTACTCTGGCCTGCTGCACCAAGCAGGCCTCTGCTCTCGCAAGAGTGCTCTCCCAGGCCCAGAGAGCAGATGACACTGAGCACATACATCCCTCCCGGAGCCTCTTCCAGAGACTTCCAGAGACTCTCGGGTTCCGCACAGCCTCCACTGTGAGGCCATCAAGAAGATGCCAGGTCCTGGCATGACTGGAGCTCCACCCCATCCCAAGGCTGACCAGGGCTCAGGGCCATGAGGAAGCTCTCTCTGATCCTCCCCACACCACACACACACACACACACACACACACACACACTCCAAAAGATCCCAGGCCAGGGCTCTCAACTAACAGCAGAGAGATACCCCAGGCTTGTTGCTTATTGGGGGTGAAAACAGCAGGCTGGGGACAATGGAAACTCTCTCCCTGCCGTCCTCTCCCCCTGCTCGTGTTGGCAGGAGGGGGCTCTGCTGGCTCCCAGGGGCTTTCCCTCCTCGAGATGTTTTTCTCTTTGATCTCACATCAGTTGAAGAGCCATCCCCCCCCCACCCCGTCCCCAGCCCCCCATCTTCTGCCTTTCAAACTCTCAGAAGATATCTGGGGTTTTGAGTACTTCTTTTTTTTTCCCCTTCTCTTTCTTTCTTTCTTTCTTTCACAAAATTCTGTGGGTCTTTTCCCAGAGATGTCTTTTCTCAAATTAACTTCTCACTTGTTGAAGTTTCCGCCCATGTGACTTCCAGGCTGAAACCACAAGAGAGAGCGGGCGCTATGTCCCTGCGGGGCGCAGAGCGTCTGTACCCCGGCGTGCGCAGGACGACACAGGGGTGGCCTCCCGCCACAGGGCCGGCTGAGGAGAGGCCTGTGGGGACACCTGTGCAGGGGGCCCAGCGGCCAGCCATCCTGGCAGCCTGAGAACCGGGAGGCGTGCTGGTGACTCGCCCGCCCAGAGGCCTGTGCACTGGCGGAGTGGGGAGCCCGGAAGCCTGCAGCCATGCCTCACAGCTCCGACAGCAGCGACTCCAGCTTCAGCCGCTCTCCTCCCCCGGGCAAGCAGGTAGCGTGCCCCCCATTCCCTCCCCGGCCTCTCCCGCATCTCCTGGGGAAGAACAGGAAGAGAGGCAGAAGCCTGGTCCTTTCTGGGAAGCCAAGAGTCAAGAGGGGGGGTTCCCCGGAGCTCTGCCCGGCTTCTGACAGGGCATGGGCAGCTAAGGGATGCTGAAGCCTGGAGACCCTCAGCCCATCTGTGCCCTCCCCAAGCCCTCCCCCACCTCCATCCTCTCATCTCAGTTGTTCCCCCAAGGCGACCCAGGTACCCCGGCCTCCGCTGGGTTCCTACAACCAGGAGGCTTTCTAGGAAGCCAGAAGAGAACGCACATCAAAGGAGTCTCAGAGGAAGGGGTTTGCCTTTCTCCCCGGCAGTCCCTGAGCGGAGGGCAGGAGAGAGGGCATCCGCACCCCAAACCCTGGGTAGGTGCTCTCTCTCTGGCGAGCACCATCAGGGCGAGAGAGAAATGGGGGTCAGGAAGGGAACATTGCCCCAGCCAAGTCTGAAGGCAGAGGAGCCCGGGACAGCACAGAAGGCCCAGCTCATCCACTGGGCGCTGAGCCACCCAGGGGGTGGCGCCGGAGACGCTCATATTCACCGTGGCATCTCGGGAGAGAGCAGAATGCTAGGGGCTAGCTGGGAGCATCTGAACTCCAGAGTGTGCCCTCCGCGTCTGAGCACCCCACCTGCCTCCCTGCCTCTAGGCTTTCTCCCGGCCACCTTCCTTGATGCCTCTCAATGTCACCGAGCAGACGGCTTCCTGGTTCTCACCGGTGGGGTGAACTTTTGTCTCCACCCGTGCTGTTGGGAAAGTACGCTCCTTGCCCAGAAAGCCAACGGGCTTTCAGAACGCGGCGTAGAAGCACGGACCTTACAGTCTGTGACAGAGGGAGCAAGCCAGGGGCATGGGTTGGAAGGAGTCTGGGGGTGGGGGTGCGGAGCACTAGAGGGTAAACAGTGCCGTCCCTTTGCTCAAGATGGTATCGGGGAGATTCACACTGCCTGGAAGTCTGCCCCTCTTCTTAGGAAGGAAATTACTCATGGCCTCCATGGCAACCGGGTTCCCCATGCCCCCGGGAGGGACAGCACTTCCTTCCTCTCTAACCCAGTGCCTCCTGCTGAGGGGCCTGGGCGCAGTGGGTGCGTGCGTACGTTAAGGGTGAGGGGCCCACCCGTGAGGAGAGCGGGTCTGGCGGGGCGCAGGCATTGCTGAGTTTTCAGCACCGCATCCGGGAGAAAGCTGGAGTTGCCTTTCTGCCTGCACCGAGCACGCTCCCATCTGTGGGGTTCGCTCGGAGAACACCCCGAGATTCCCCTAGCTATAGCGGTCTCCACCTGGAAAGCCAAGCCTCTCCTCTGCCTTGGACCGGGCACTGTGCTGGGAGTCACAGGGAATGTCAAGGCCAGAGCATCACAAAGAGGACATCGGGAGAGGGGAGGCTCGTGGCGGGGACCGCCACCCTGAGACGGAGCAGAAGGCACATGGGGTACAGTGCAGTGAGGTGGGGGTGATGGGGTCTCGGGAAGGCCTGAGAGTCAGCCTGGGCTCCCCCATGGCTGTGAACTCTTGCAGCTTCTGTCTTCTCAAAGGCAGAAATAATAACATCAGCCTCGTTGAACTGGTTGAACTGGGGAGTGACTTCAGAGCATTCTAAAGGCACTTGCCCGGAGTGGGTGCGGTGTAGGCTCACCCTCAGAGTTTTGGGAAAACATAGCAAGAAGGTTCTAGTTCCAAAGGAACAGCCTGAACATTGTTTTCTAAACACAGCCCAACACCATCCCCCAAAATGGGAGAGACCCAGGCCGGCGGGGAGGGGGGCTCTCAGAGTGCAGGAGACCAGCTCCCTTTGGGGCTCAGGCTTTTGGTAAAAAGTGGGCTGGATGAGTAAGGGGAGAAAATAAAAGGGAGGGATGGACGGACTGGCAACAGCCTCCAAGTCTGCTATTTTTTTTGTAAATTTATTTTTTGCTTTTTGGGCCACCCCTGGCAATGCTCATGGGGGGTTACTCCTGACTCTGCACTCAGAAATTACTCCTGGTGGCACTCAGGGAATTCTATGGGATGCTGGGGATCGGACTCAGGTCAGCTGCATGCAAGGCAAATGCCCTTCCCGCTGAATTATCTCTCAGTCCCCCACCAAGCCTGCTTTAACTCCAAAGAGGGGAGCAGACTCGACTCACTCTCCTCATCCCTGCTTCCCAGGACTCATCAGATGACGTGAGAAAGGTCCAGAGAAGGGAGAAAAATCGCATCGCCGCACAGAAGAGCCGACAGCGGCAAACACAGAAGGCCGACACCCTGCACTTGGTGAGTGTCAGGCCTTGCTCCAGCCCGAGCTGTGCTCTGCTCCCTCCGGTAGACCTGAGCTTGGGCCTGGGGTGGAGCTGGGGAGAACAAGCAGAAGGGCGAGAGTTGTGGGGATGGAGGTGGAGGTTGAGAGGGAAGAAGCTCTGAGAAGAGGGACTGGGCGAGAAGGTTGATCCGGGAATGAGATGGCCCAAGAGAGGGGAGCAGATGCACTGAGTGTGGGAATTCCCAAGTTCCTGCAGAAGTCTGGGGGTTGGGGGGAGCCCCAAGGAGCCTTGGAGAGCCCAAGGTGAGGCTGTCTTTAGGAGTTGAGGAGGCATCAGTGCTTTGGGGGAGGCCTCCACTGTCTCACACTCCATCCCTGTGCTAGGATCACCTCTAGCCTCAGCTCTGGGAGGCTGCCGGGACAGTGGCCACCACCCAGGGCCCTGCCCATCCTGAGGGAGGTGTAATATATGGGACTCCCCTTCCAAACACCAGTCAGGTTGGTTTTTACCAACCTGATGCCCTTCTGAAAATGTTGGTGATGGTTCTGGGAATTGAACCCAAAGTCTCACATCTGACCATTTCTTTTGGTAGGTTTTTTTGGTTGTTGTTTTGATATTTTAGATCATACCTGGCTGTACTCAGGGCTTATATCTGACTCTGTGCTCAGGGATCATTCCTGACAGGAATCGGTTGGGGGGGGAGGGGACCATATGGTGTGCCAGAGATTGAACCCAACTTGGCTGCATGCAAGGCAAGCACCTACTCACTGTATGATCTCTCCAGACCCACACATAAATGTTTCTATCCGGAATGTTCTTCCAAGGGACCTGTGAAGGATGTATTGCTTGGTGTGGTGAGTGTATGACTTCTAGCACCCTGGTAATAGATTTATTGATTTATTTGTTTTGGGGTCATACCCAGTGTTGCTCTGTGTTCAGAGATCACTCCTGGTGGCACTCTAGGGAACCATCTGTGATGCGGGGAAGTCAAACCATGATTGGTCACACAGGCAAGGAAAATGCCTTAGCCTGGTACTATCTCTCTGATCCCTCACTCACTGTTTTAATGGTAAATAGGTAATTGCACAAATAATGAAGATGCTTGTATTGATTTGACAGACTGGCTTAGTAATCTAGGAATGTGAGGTTTTAAGCTTCAGAGGAATAAGTGAGTTCTAGAAAGAGATGCTGCTCTTGGATTTTTAAGGAAGCAGAGAGTGTCCTGTGCCAACCTCTCTCCTTGGATGCTTGTGATTTATTTAGAATATATTTCTCTTCTATTGCAGAATCACACCATTTTTAGGTTCATAAATATCAGTTTATCGAAAAGAGAGTACTTGTGCATTGTCAGTATCCCCTTTAATAACTGTGAGTGGCAGCCCAAGTCGTTGGTGACCCTAGTACTAACAGCTCCCCAGGGTTTCATCAGAGCTTATTGTCTGACTACACTCCAGTTCACGATTAGGCTTCACATTCTGTGCTCACTCACTGGATCAGATTCTGAATCTAAGCCAGTCTTCTTTAGAGCCAGCAAAAAGATGAACTGATAAAAAACCAAAAAGGATAAAGCCTACCTTTTCATACAAGTGGGCAATTTCCTGAAACTGGCAAACTGCTCTAGGCGTTATAAATAACTTGGTTAGTAAAATAACCAGTGGAATTTGCGGGTCGTTGAGCAGCTCTGCAGCCAAAAGACAGGGTTTGAATCCCAGCTCTGTTCAACTCGCTGTTTCTGTGACAGAACTTAATGAGACATTCTTAACCCTCCAAGTCTTGGTTTTCTTCTCTGTGGAGCGTGAGATGGCAGGAGATGGCGAGACAGCTCAAGTGGCAGTGCACGGGTCTGGCATGTGTAAGGCCCTGAGTTCCATCCTAGTACCATACATGGCAACTAAGCATCTCCGAGTCTAGCCAGAGTGCCCCTGAGCACTGCTGAGTGTGGTCCCTACAATAAAAGGAAGCTAACACTACTTCATAAAGAGCTCAACAAGAGTATAGCCTAGAGTATAGTGACTACTCAAAAAAAATAAATAAATAATAAGTACATTAAACAGCACTGTAGCACTGTCCTCCCATTGTTTGTCAATTTGCTCAAGCGGGCACCAGTAAAATCTCCATTGTGAGACTTGTTGTTACTGTTTTTGGTATATCGAATACGTCATGGGTAGCTTGCCAGGCTCTGCCATGCAGGCGAGATACTCTCGGTAGCTTGCCTCTGAGAGGAGTGGAGGAATCAAACCCAGGTTGGTGGCGTGCAAGGCAAACGCCCTACCCGTTATGCTATCACTGCAGCCCAAGTCACTGTCACTGTCACTGTCCTCCCGTTGTTCATTGATTTACTCAAGCGGTCTCAGTAATGTTTCCATGGTGACACTTGTTACTGTGTTTGGCATATCGAATACGTCACAGGTAGCTTGCCAGGCTTTGCCGTGTAGGCGAGATACTCTCAGTAGCTTGCCGGGCTCTCCGAGAGGGGCGGAAGAATCGAACCTGGGTCGGCCGGGTCAGCCAGGTTGGCCGCGTGCAAGGCAAATGCTCTACCCGCTGTGCTATCGCTCCAGCCCAAATGAAATGAAATGAAATGAAATGAAATGAAATGAAGTGAAATGCCCCAAGTACAGTAAGTAATATCAATAAAAGCTATTACAATTTTTTGTAAGAAACAATAATCGCATCTAGAATCTCAGGGTTGAAAGGTGCTTTAAAAGACTAGAAAAAAATTCTTTTAAAGAGGCCAATTTATTTTGTTTATTTTCTTTTCTTTTTTGGGTCACACCCAGCAATGCTCAGGGATTATTCCTGGCTTTGCACTCAGGAATTATTCCTGATGGTACTTGGGGGACCACATGGGATGCTGGGGATCAAACCCAGTTTGGCCACATGCAAGGCAAACGCCCTACCCGCTATGCTATCGCTCCAGCCCCCAAAAGACTAGAAATTTTAAACAGATTTTTTTTGGGGGGGGGCGTTGCAATTTTTGGATCACGCTAGTAGTGCTCAGGAGCCAGGAATGGGCCATGTGCAAGGCAAGAGCCTTATCCTGTTATATTAAGGTTCTCCAGCCCTCACACATGCTTTTAATACTCGAAGCAAATATCCCTGGGACATGGTCCCCAGTGTATAATCGGCCACTTGTAATGATAGCTCCCTCCCTCCTTGTCTAAGAAGCAGGAGTTCATCCCTATTTTGAAACATATTACCATCTCCCCAAAATGACACCCACTAATCTTCCTTCAACCCCTTGGGGACATATCACTGTGTGTTGTCTCCCCCTTTCTTTGCTATGGCTGGGTTCCCCTCTCTGTGTCTCTCACTAAGACATGACTTAGAACCAGGTTGAGTCCTTCAGAGTCATTACACCAGCTACGACCATGCTGGGCTCATCTCTGGAGCTGGGAACTCTCCTCCACCTCGGCTGGCCTCAGGAATGGTCCTGTAGCCCCTGCCTGGGAACACAGACTCCTCCCCACTCCTTTCCTGAGTGCCCCTAGCATCCTTCTTTCCCTTGCAACCAGTAAACAGGCATAACAGAGACTAAGTTTGCACGGCCAGCTCAGGGATGGTAGTCAAGGCAACGAACTGTTTTTTTGGCTCTGCACAGACCTATAGAGCAGCAAAGTAGAAATCAAACACCATCAGACCGAGGGTTTCGTTGTGGTCTGAAATGCTCATTTCCTCTCAGACATTCATCAGCCATCCACAGTCCTCTTCACAGTTTGTGATTCAGGTAGAAAACCTCGCAGCGTACCAGCAGCAGCCCCCCTACTAGGGCTGAGAGCTAGGTCGGCTTCCGGCTTGCCTTCCCCACTTGGTCCCACAGACCGAGACCCATTCAACAGTCCTCACACAGAACCCTAGAACTCATCGGCCAGTGCCTTGAAGAACAGGGTCAGGCACTGCCAAGAGTCGCATATCTGGGTCAGAGAGACAGCATGGAGGGTAGGGCACTTCCCTTGCACACAGCTGAACCGGTTCAACCCCCAGCAACCCATTTGGTCCCCTGACCACTGCCAGTCAGCCCTGGGTGTGGCCCTAAAACAAAAATTAAAACAAACAAACCAACACAAATATATGGGGAAAAGCAATAACAGAGCGATGGTGAAATTCCCCTGCCAGACTGGGAAAGATACAAAATGGATATTGCCATGGGGCAGAGCAATAGTACAGTGAGTAGCGCATTCACTTGCACACAGCTAACCCAGGTTCAATGCCCGGCACTCCATATGGTCCCCTGATCCTGCCAGGTGTGATCACTGAGCACCACTGGGTGTGGCCAAAAAATAAATAAATAAATAAATAAATCAGCAGACTTTGCCATGATATTGCCAAAGTGGAGAGGCAGGTAGTTGTCATCACACTCTGCCAGTGGGCATCTCAGTCAGTATAAGCCATCACAGGGCAATGTGACCTGGTCCTTGCATATTTAAGTACACCACATACTGTTATTTTTTTTTCTTTTTTTTGGGTCACACTCGGCGATGCACAGGGGTTACTCCTGGCTCATGCACTCAGGAATTACTCCTGGCAGTGCTCGGGGGACCATATGGGATGCTGGGAATCGAACCCAGGTCGGCCGCATGCAAGACAAGCACCCTACCCACGGTGCTATGGCTCCAGCCCCCACATACTGTGAATTTTTGCAATTTCACTTCTCTGCCTATTTCGTTGGTGTTGTTGTTGCTTGGCCATACTCAGCAGTGTTCAGGGCTTACTCCTAGCTCTATTTTCGGGATTTCAGGGTTCACTCCTGGCAGGGCATGGGGGACCATTTGGAACTTGAACTCAGGTCAGCTGCAAGGTAAGCACCTTACCCACTGTACTACTGCTTCAGCCCCTTCTCAGAATCTGTTAAATAAGCCATACCCACAGACTATATAATTATGTGAGGTAAGATTATTGCTACATTGTTTGTTATAGCAAATACTAGAAATAAGCTAAGTATAGATGTTACAGACCAAGTAAGTAAATTGTATAGTTTGTGTCCTCAGTGAAATACCATTATGTTATTAAAAT